TTTAACAACATGGTAATATAACATGCACCTTTTAACAAGATGGTAGTATAACATGCAACCCTTTAACAAGATGGTAATATAACATGCACCTCTTTAACAACATGGTAATATAACATGCACCTCTTTAACAACATGGTAATATAACATGCACCTCTTTAACAACATGGTAATATAACACGCGCCCCTTTAACAACATGGTAATATAACATGCACCTCTTTAACAACATGGTAATATAACTCGCGCCCCTTTAACAACATGGTAATATAACATGCACCTCTTGAACAACATGGTAGTATAACACGCGCCCCTTTAACAACATGGTAATATAACATGCACCCCTTGAACAACATGGTAGTATAACACGCGCCCCTTTAACAACATGGTAATATAACACGCGCCCCTTTAACAACATGGTAATATAACATGCACCCCTTGAACAACTTGGTAGTATAACCCGCGCCCCTTTAACAACATGGTAATATAACACGCGCCCCTTTAACAGCATGGTAGTATAACACGCACCCCTTTAGCAACATGGTAATATAACATGCACCCCTTGAACAACATGGTAGTATAACACGCGCCCCTTTAACAACATGGTAATATAACATGCACCCCTTGAACAACATGGTAGTATAACACGCGCCCCTTTAACAACATGGTAATATAACACGCGCCCCTTTAACAGCATGGTAGTATAACACGCGCCCCTTTAACAACATGGTAATATAACACGCGCCCCTTTAACAGCATGGTAGTATAACACCCGCCCCTTTAACAACATGGTAATATAAGATGCACCCTTTAACAACATGGTAATATAACATGCAACTGTTGAACAAGCGGCTAGAATTATATGCAGCCTTTAATAAAAGTAAAAGTAAAGACTATATGCACCCTTTACCAAACGGTCAGATTTATATGCAACCTCACATCAGCCCACATAAAAGAGAGTCTTTGGAAACGTATGTGAAGATTGAATATATTTCTCTTCTGAGTTTAAAAAACCTCAGTTGTATCCGGCACTGTCAGAAATGTGTGTGGGAATCTGAAAACATTGGCACTTGCCCTGGACGCCTGACGTACTGGGAATACTTCGTGTGCCCATCTGGTGTCAGGATCCGTCCAACTGACCGTGGTGATCGGATCCTGGCACAGCTAAGAGACGAGATTCTTTTGTGGTACCGATTGATTGCCTTTTCCCCTAGGAAGAAACTCATAAGGAAGTAATACATAATTAATTGTCAGTGTGCCCCGTCTTTCAAAATGGACACGGATTTGACAGATTAATCAGCCCCTGAACCACATCTGCTGTGTGAACCGGTACCGGTTTGCCACACTGATGAGATGTAGCAGTCACCAAGTACCTGTCTGTTGTGTGAACCGGAACCAGTTTGCCACACTGATGCGATGTGGCAGTCACCAAGTACCTGTCTGTTGTGTGAACCGGAACCGGTTTGCCACACTGATGAGACGTAGCAGTCACCAAGTACCTGTCTGTTGTGTGAACTGCAGCCAGTTAGCCACACTGATGAGATGTGGCAGTCACCAAGTACCTGTCTGTTCACACCTCGCCTGTAGCTCAATCTAGTACTGCAGGTGCACGTGTATTTGTCCGGACGGGGATCCCGTGGACGTCCATGGCTGACAGAGCGGTATAATATTGGTGTACATCAGAACTGTACAGCGTGGGGATGACGTGGCAGATCTATACGTGGGAAGCTGGTGTGTGTTTGATAAATGGTGTGGTTCGTTTCTATTCCCAACGGTATGTTTTGTTTGTATCTAATAGAGTATTTGTGGTTTGTGATAGGCTGTGAATGAAACGTCATGCTACGGGCACGGCTTGGGATATTGTCAGAGGCTGATTGTACTGAAGGCGACCCAGAACGACAATCGACTTATGTCGACCTGAGTTTTCACTATTTCAAGAATACAAAGACGGTGAAAAAACTCGGTTTGTTTGTGCTTCCCGGTTGATTTCTTTTGACAGAATTTCAATCACGGGCATTGTGTTCTCCATGATTGGGGTTGTTAACACAGGACAGAGAGAGTTAAGAGATCAGGAGGTACCAGACCAAGGGCACCGATAACAACTGGGAGCCTGATGACAATATGGAGCCTGACAACAACGGTAAGCTTGACGTAAATAGGGAGCCTGACGACAATAGGAAGCCTGGCAACAACGGGGAGCTTGACGACAACGGGAAGCCTGATGACAATAGGGACCCTGACGATAACAGAGATCCCAACAACAACGGGGAACTTGACGACAATAAGGGGCCTGACGACATTAGAGAGACAGACGACAACGGGAAGCCTGACAACAATAGGGAGCCTGATGACACTAGGGAGCCTGATGACACTAAGGAGCCTGGTGTGAGTTGCCTGATGACATCGGGGAGCCTGGCGAGAAAAGAGAGCCTGACAACAACGAGGAGCCTGACGACAATGGGGGGCCTGATGACAACGGGGAGCGTGACGACAATACGGGGCCTGACGACAATACGGAGCCTGATGACAACGGGGAGCGTGACGACAATACGGGGCCTGATGACAATTGGGAGCCTGCCGAGAATAAGGACCCTGACAACAACGGGGAGCCTGACGACAATAGGGGGCCTGATGACAATGGGGAGCCTGACGAGAATAAGGACCCTGACAACAACGGGGAGCCTGACGACAATAGGGGGCCTGATGACAATGGGGAGCCTGACGAGAATAAGGACCCTGACAACAACGGGGAGCCTGACGACAATAGGGAGCCTGACAACATCGGGTAGCCTAACTACAAAAAGGATCCTGCTGACGACAGGGGCTGATAACAGTTGGGAGCCTGACAACAATGGGGAGCCTGTCGACGCTGTACTTTGGATGCAAGCAATATAAATATATAAATAAAAGATGAGGTCTACATATGTATCATGCTTTCCCTGAATCTTGTCAACCACATTAATGGCAAAACATCCAATGATATAAATATTTTCAATTGGTTTCTTAAATGACAAAATCAGTTTTGTTAGCAGAAATATTTTTGTCATGCTGTATATGGGCCTATTCGAAAAAAAAGTTTAAGTGCATGGTTTTCCATGACACCCTGGCCATATTCAGGGCCGTACCACAGGGTCACACCACAGAAACAATAATTCGTGGAATCACGTAATTTAAAGGTCACATGCAACCAAAAAAACAAACATAATTAAAACACAATTATCACTTATTCATGACATATATACATTGCCGATTATGAAAAAACAAATAAACAAAATCATAAGCGTACAATCGCAAATCAAAAGTGCAATATTTTGTACTTGGGTTTATTTCCCTCGAAACGAAGTACCCGGGATACCGAACCCAGTCAGAGCGGGTGGGCGTGCACTTAAGTGTAACGAAGTCTTTCATTGGCTGGTTCATTTGCCGATACACTCTTTGTGTGTGTATAGAGATGTTGGGTTTTGTAAATACATGCTCATTTTTTTGGGTATAACATTTTGCAATCAACAGACATCATAACATGTCATGTGTACAAGTATCATACCTGCCTGTCTGTGTAATTACATAATGTGACAGAGACAGAACTCGGGTGCACGAGCCATAAATCAATGCGTTTTGTTTATGGTGTATAGCCTGATAGGTGTTAATTCAAATTGCATGTGGTCAGTGATCGAAGTTGTGTATTGCATATTGTAATAAGCAGACAGGCAGGCAGACACATACGTGTCAATAAGTTTGAGTTTTGTCTGTTCCAGAGGCATATCTATATCACAGTTAGAAATTCTGACAATGCTAAATAATGACGTTGATGTTAAGTATCGAACTGAGAAAGTGACTCGGTAAGAAGAACGTGTGGTGAAATAGTCAAATAAAATTATATAAACAGTTAAATCGGTAATCTCCTGTCATAACACATAAAAAAGCTCGCGACTGTGAAATATCAACAAAACATTAGAAAAATAACTCACATCAGACATCCCGCTTCCAGGCTGCGCGAACCTATTCACTGCGCATGCGCCATGAACGCAGTGCAGAGCAGCGCAGCACAGCTGTTGAAACCACTTTTAACCCCAGCTGGGGTGAATTTAGAGAATCGTTTGAACGATTCGCGGGCTTTTTTCGTCGCGATATTTTTCAACTTTATAAGTTGAATTTGCATTTTTGATCATTTGTTACTGTAAGTCCATACCGAAAGGTATCAGAATCAGCAAAGCTGTGTTTTACGTTGCATGTGACCTTTAAGATATCCTGTTTGTTTCAGGGAAGGATATCTACTGATAAACGTGTTGAACAGTCTCAACGAATTCATTGCACAATCGACATTTCATGTTAACATTTTCACATTCTGGCGATTGCGAGTTGAACGTTACTGGTCCAAGGCAGCAAAAAGAAAGACCTCTGATTCAATTTATGACCATCCGACTTCATCCAGGCGAAGGAGCAGACAAGCACCTATCACACTTACAAGCACCTCCAACAAACACAAGCACATCCATGAAACACAAGCACCTCACACGCTTACAAGCACCCCAATCAAATACAGGCACCTCCATCAAACACAAGCACCTCCATCAAACACAAGCACCCCCCCATCAAATACAAGCACCTCCATCAAACACAAGCACCTCTCCCACTTAGAAGCACTTCCATCAAATACAAGCATATCCATCAAGTACAAGCACCTCCATCAAATACAAGCACCTTTCACATTCCCAAGCACCTGCATCAAACACAAGCACCTCTCACACTTACAAGTACATCCATCAAACACAAGCACCTCCATCAAACACAAGCACCTCATCAAATACAAGCACTACTACAATACGTACAGGCCTTGTCTCCAACCTGAAGCACAATGGTTTCCTGTTTTAAGAAACCATTCCTCCCCTAAGTAAACACAACTTCAAATGTCCATTTTATCTTGATCTCTCAACTTATTTATTCATTGAAACACCTCGACTATGAAGAGAAACAAAGTGTAGTTAATAAATATAACACGGCAATATTGATTAATATATATTTCAATGGCGATGTTAAAGAGAAAATGTGGTTGAGTATATGTACAGTTGGTTGAAGTAGGAGTCAGTCAAATTAATCTCTGGCCAGCTTAATGCAGCAGCTGTGGTACCAGCTAATGGTATCACTGTTGGTCGCTGCTTGGAAACACGCATGTTGTACCTGTGACAAGGGAGAGGGGGGCGATGTACAACTACTTGTCCCTGACAATCTATATGATAAGGAAATGAAAAGTCCTTAACCAGAACATGAATATCCTTTTCGTGATTAACCGTACTATTCCGACTAGTTACGTTAACTGACGAGTGGCAATGAATGATGAAAAGCGATCATCTTTGGATGGCCGCCTCGTTTTCAATAATGAGATACTGTATGTATGATATTGCCGCTCTGAGCGTTTGAATCCTGGAAATTCTGTTACTGTCACGAACATTTGGGAGATGATCCTTTAGTTTGTTGAAAGCATGGTTCAAGTGAGACATTCTTCTTCGTTCTCTTGTATTGGCCGCTAACCGCTGCGAGGAAGTTTGCATCCGTCTTCGTTTCCGCTGTTCACTGTCGGAAAAACCCATATTTGTCTTTTCCGGTTCAAAGGACCTCCTGATTTGGTTTTCGAACATTCCGGGAAGTTGCGTAAAAGATATTTCACTTCCGGTGTAGCTGTAATTTGTATTATGATTTGCCATGGATTCATGTTGATAGAGAGTCTGGATATTTTCTTCCACATCTATGTCCCCGGGAGTAGGTTGGTCTGAGATGTAAACATCATCATCTGACCTTGAACTTGATCGGGATGTTGACCTGGATGCCCTGTCATTCACAGATGTGTTTCCGTTTGATTCTTGTGACTTCCTGTGGCGCATTATCTGTACTCGATGATTCTGTGAAATAAACAGGACCACACAGTTACATCCATGCTCTGGATCAACAGTCGCACAGGGAGTAGCGACAGTCACATAGAAAATAACCAGGTTCAAAACTGCCGGACCAGATTGCTTCCCACCACTGTTTTGCCTCTTATACCCAATGGAATCCCTTGTCAGATACTGGAGATGGGTGTTTCCCCGATGTAGGCGTGTCACATGATGGAGGTCCTGACAATGTGCTGGTTTTAGTTATGCTGCATCATTAACGGTTGATCATAAGAGTTTTAACAACTAGGTTCTAATTTGAATCTTTCCCGGAAGTTAGCTTCTGAGGACTTGGAACACTTGATTCAGACTGCTCTGTCGTTTTAAACGCTTACATTTTATTTCATATCTTGTCACTTTGTACGATTAGCTTTATCTGAACTGCCGAGCCAAAGATATTATATATGTTTGACGGTGTTTGACAAGGATACAAAAAGAAATTTTGTAAATGTATACTCAAAGGCAAAATATTTTGTGACAACGAATGCTTTCGTTGGTATTCTTGTGAACGGATCTTCTGACTAGAATCAGGTAAAGATTGATTAAATTGGTCGAAGTAACGCAACTATGCAGATGGTTTTGAATTGCAAGTGTTTGGGCTCGTTTTTCCATGTGCCATTGCTGGTTGTCCCCATACCTTGGAACATTTTTCTTTCCATGTAATAATATTTCATTCGCGGCAGAACATGTTTAACTCGGATTCTGTTTGTTAGTGTGACACAATAACTTTGCCTTTGAATGTAGTTTGTTTTGACATATTCAAGTTTTAAATGTATGCTTTCTTTGGCAGAACAGTTCTTACGGTTCGCAATGGCCTCAAGGGTTTCCGGAAACGGATTGAATGATGATCACAGTGTTGTGCATTGTCCATCGACTGTTGTGGAGTCAGTGAAGTCGCAGAATAGAATATCTTTTGTGTTTCACAGTGGATGAGATGTCTACTTAACTAGTACATCAACTCCACTGTGACAAGTTTACTTAACCAGTACATCAGCTCTGTTGTCACGTGTTTACTTAACCAGTACTTCAACTCTACTGTGACGCATTTACTTAACCAGTACTTCAACACTATACTGACGCGTTTACTTAACCAGTACATCAACTCTGTTGTGATGTGTTTACTTAACTAGTACTTCAACTCTGTTGTGACGCGTTTACTTAACCAGTACTTCAACTCTGTTGTGATGTGTTTACTTAACCAGTACTTCAAATCTACTGTGACGCGTTTACTTAACCAGTACATCAACTCTGTTGTGACGTGTTTACTTAACCAGTACTTCAACTCTACTCTAACGCGTTTACTTAACCAGTACTTCAACTCTGTTGTGATGTGTTTACTTAACCAGTACTTCAACTCTACTGTAACGCGTCTACTTAACCAGTACTTCAACTCTACTGTGACGCATTTACTTAACCAGTACATCAACTCTACTGTAATGTGTTTACTTAACCAGTACATCAACTCTGTTGTGACGTGTTTACTTAACCAGTACTTCAACTCTGTTGTGACGCGTTTACTTAACCAGTACTTCAACTCTGTTGTGATGTGTTTACTTAACCAGTACATCAACGCTACTGTGACGTGTTTACTTAACCAGTACATCAACTCTGTTGTGACGTGTTTACTTAACCAGTACTTCAACTCTACTGTGACGCGTTTACTTAACCAGTACTTTAACTCTACTGTAACACGTTTACTTAACCAGTACTTCAACTCTACTGTGACGTGTTTACTTAACCAGTACTTCAACCATGTTGTAACGTGTTTACTTAACCAGTACATGAACTCTGTTGTGACGCGTTTACTTAACCAGTACTTCAGCTCTGTTGTGACGCGTTTACTTAACCAGTACTTCAGCTCTGTTGTGACGTGTTTACTTAACCAGTACTTCAACGCTACTCTAACGCGTTTACTTAACCAGTACTTCAACTCTGTTGTGACGTGTTTACTTAACCAGTACTTCAATTCTACTGTGACGCGTTTACTTAACCAGTACTTCAACCATTCAATAAATTTTCTATTTATTATAGGCAGTTGTGTCGTAAACACGGGCCCTCATATCTATCTTCTATAAAGGCAGCTATATTCCAACCATGAGAAATGCTGTCACATAATGTCTTACAACAGTTACCAACGTCTCAATAGTGTCCATAGAAACGAACATCATATTTGTTTTAGAAATCTTTAACAAAAATGCACAACTTCACTGCTTGTTTGATAAATGACAAAGGTTCATTCAATCATATCAAAAGGTTTTCAGGCTTGAAGGACGAATCAAAATAAAAAGAATATCGCCAATATATGTTTAATGGCTAATGATAGGTTCGAAAATGTGGGTCATACATACATGATAATTTTTATTGTTGTGTGTTAGATATACCCGTTAGAACCCTAAGATAGGTCTAGCATACATTATATATACATGCTTGATAGTATATTTCCAGGAAGTACTTTAACGCCCGTAATGAGGAAACTATTTTAGAGGACTTTTCTATTACAGCAGTTACATGATGAGACCACTTTGTATTGTCCGATAAGATAACACCAAGATGTTTATGTTGATGTACACCCTTCAATGTTCATTACTGAAGATCAAGTCAGGAACTTGTAGCCAATGTCCATAGTTGAAAAGCATAAGTTTAGTACTAATAGGATTGAAATTAAATAACCACTTTTCTGGCCATTTATTCAAATGGGCTAAATCATAGTTGAGAGTAGCATCTATTAATTTTACATCTTTTCCCGCAGCGACTGATGTGTCATCGGCAAACATTCTCGTGACATTTTTTTAATTTTCAGGTAAATCATTGATACATACAAGGAACAAAAATGACCAAGGGCAGATTCTTGAGGAACCCATGCAGTAACATTTAGTTATTTCGATAATGTTCCATTAATAGAGACGCACTGTCGTCTATTAGGTAGATAGTTAGTTAACCAACTACTAGTAAGTACGTTTCCACGAACACCATAATTTTTCTAATTTCTGCATTAAACCTTTATGTCAATCCCTGTCAAAAGCTTTTGAAATGTCACAAAATACCATACAGTAAAGGTGTATTATCTAGGGCTGAGTATATATTATGATAGATTTCCATGGGTTCAGATGTAGTAGAAAGACTAGCAGTAAAACCGGACTGGACTTTACTTAAAATGCCATGTTCATGGAAATGTTTCTGCAAATGCTTTCACATTATTCTTTCAAGAATATTATTTTCCCAAGGACAGATGATAAACTAATAGGTCTGTAATTAGTTGGGAGTGATTTATCTCCTTGTTTGAAACTAGGAGTACCATTACCCGTTTTCCACATTGTAGGAAATACAGTCACTCAGTGATACATTATACAACAGACAAAGAGGTTCAGCTATAGATGTACAAATTCGTTTTTACACACTCATGTTAATGCCATCGGGTCCACTAGATTTGTTTTCTGGTAAGGTCTTATTCATATCAGATACCTCCTTTTCGGTTACAATGACATTTGTTATACTGTTAACACAGCGATGGCTAACAGGTGGCAAAGTCTTGCCGCCATCATACACATTGGAAACAGATACCATATATTCATTCAATGTTTGTGCTTTATCCAAATCTGTGAAAACTGAAGGTATCCCAGAATCATCAGTCACAAGAAGGGGAACGCCTCCCGATGAAGTGGTACCTTTCAACAACTAAAAAGATCTTCCAGTAACCACCTGATTGAGTAGACTGAGATGATAAAAAGATATCTAGATTAGAAATAAAAGTTTCCTTGGCTATGATTTTCAGATTATTCCTTTGCTTGTTGTATTTAAATTAGAGATCGAAATGCCTTTTTCCTTAGACGTACTCTTTTCTTTTAAAGTATGTTAGATATACCCGTTAGAACTCCTCCACTACTCTTTTCCATCACAGCCATCTCAGTTCCTAAACAGTGGAGTCCAGCAGGTGTTTATATACTCACAGTATGTGGAGATAGATATATCCCAACTGTTCCCAATAAACAGAACGAAGCTGACAGATCTGTAGCAGAATTTCTGTACACGTATTCTCTTCAAATTCTACGTTGCAATGGCCATATATTCTAACAACATATTCATATATTCATTCCTGATAAAATCCCAAAGAGTGATCCCATTACAAGCGTCCGGATGCAATAGCTAATCTCTTCCTGATGGTATATTACAATTTGCCTTTAATCGGAAACAAAATCTTCCAAATAACTGTCACTATTGTCCGGGGATTGAGATAGGCAACTGTTGGACTGACAGTCGGCCGTGCGTGTCGCAGGATTTCCAAAGGTGGGCGTGGCGTTCTGCTCGTCCTTTATTTTAGCGGCATGCAGGTGTCCCACGTGCAGTGTGTCCGACATAATGAGCGGAGTGGGATTGTTCTGTTGCTATCGACTCGGCCTCTTCGTGTGGTGGACAGATAACAGCTCTAACCTGAGGCTTCTCATAGAGTGAACTATGTGTCCAGGGTGGCCGCGCATGTCCACAGATGTTTCACGATGTCATCCAACGAGATGTGTCCAGGGTGGCCGCGCATGTCCACAGATGTTTCACGACGTCATCCAACGAGATCTAGTTCGAATCCAAAGATGTTTACACATGTTCCCGAATGCTGGTGGATGTCTGTTAGAATTAATTTATGTTGCAAATGTCCCCGAATGTCCATGGAAATTGCCTGATCATATACATTCTTGGACATCAGTCAACCTCATTTATTGCCATCAATGGATATACTTTGGCTTCAAGGTCAACATTCAAGGTCATGCTTATAAATACATCGCTAAACTATTCCACCTTGATGACAATGTAGATCTGAAGAACTGTTCAAAAGCACCACTCATCGTACGGCGATTGAGCTCCACACATTGCACCTAGACCAACTTCCATACATTGTACCTAGACCAAGTCCAAATATTATACCTAGTTCACGTTCCACACATTATACCTTGACCAAGTCCCACATGTTGTCCCTAGAACAAGTCCCACACATTATACCTAGCCCAAGTTCCAGACATTGCACCTACACCAAGATCCACACATTGTACCTAGACCAAGTTCCGAACATTTTATCTAGACCAAGTCCCACATATTGTCCCTAGAACAAGCTCCACACATTTTACCTAGACCAAGTCCCACATATTGTCCCTAGAACAAGCTCCACACATTATACCTAGACCAAGCTCCACACATTGCACCTAGACCAAGTCCCACACATTGCACCTAGACCGAGTTTCAGACATTGTACCTAGACCAGGTTCCACACATTATACCTAGACCAAGCTCCTTACATTGTACCTAGACCAAGTTCCACACATTGTACCTAGACCAAGTCCCACACCTTGTACCTAGACCAAGTTCCACACATTGTACCTACACCAAGTTCCACACCTTGCACCTAGACCAAGTCCCACACCTTGTACCTAGACCAAGTTCCACACATTGTACCTAGACCAAGCTCCATACATTGTACCTAGACCAAGTTCCACACCTTGTACCTAGACCAAGCTCCACACATTGTACCTAGACCAAGTTCCACACATTGTATCTAGACCAAGTTCCATACATTGTACCTAGACCAAGCTCCATACATTGTACCTAGACCAAGTTCCACACATTGTACCTACACCAAGTCCCACACCTTGTACCTAGACCAAGCTCAATACATTGTACCTACACCAAGTTCCACACCTTGTACCTAGACCAAGTCACACACATTGTACCTAGACCAAGTTCCATACATTGTACCTACACCAAGTTCCACACATTGCACCTAGACCAAGCTCCATACATTGTACCTAGACCAAGTCCCACACCTTGTACCTAGACCAAGTTCCACACATTGTACCTACACCAAGTCCCACACCTTGTACCTAGACCAAGCTCCACACATTGTACCTACACCAAGCTCCATACATTGTACCTACACCAAGTTCCACACATTGTACCTACACCAAGCTCCATACATTGTACCTAGACCAAGTCCCACACATTGTACCTACACCAAGCTCCATACATTGTACCTACACCAAGTCCCACACATTGTACCTACACCAAGCTCCATACATTGTACCTACACCAAGCTCCACACATTGTACCCAGACCTAGACATTGTGTTGAAAAAAAACCACCCTCACTTCTTTACGAGATTTGAACGAGAGAAAGCTTTCAGGCTATCACGAACTTTGTAAATTCCCCAGCACTTGGTAACACGTGGTGCAGATGTAAATGTAGATAATCTCCACAATAATTTCGTGTAATGCAACCTAAGGGCATTAATAAGGGCAACCTTGACATATTGTGCTGAAAGCGTTCTAAACTAATTGTTACCGTGATTAACTAAGTGTGTATTTCAATTCAACTGGTTTATCTCAACCTTCATATAAATTCGGCCAGCATTAACAGAATCCAGTATCATAGCAGCACACTCGTGTCGCTTGTCGACATGTTTCTCACACATACTACCGACACGTTTGACTCTCATACAAATGTTAAATGTTCGACGTGTATACCCTACTTATATACTGAACATACACACGTTAACTGTTCGACGTGTATACCCTACTTATATACTGAACATACACACGTTAACTGTTCGACGTGTATACCCTACTTATATACTGAACATACAAACGTTAAACGTTCGACGTGTATACCCTACTTATATACTGAACATCATTGAAAACGCACCAGTCTAAAATTGTCCATATTTTCATCTAGATGGATTACAGCATGACAATGATCAATGAATATAACTAACATGAAGTCGAAGGGCATGTCCAGTTGAAAAATTGCTTTAGAAACAAATTCCTGTCCACAGTATGACTCTTAATTCCAAAATGCATTAACATGCAGCCACGCCATGAAAAAAGTGCGAATTTCATTCTGAAATCATACTGACTGTGACATTAAAAGCAGGTGTATGAGAACCGATTCTCAATGCTTCACTAACGATTGTGAAACGAGGACAGAGATGCCGAGGTTAACAACTCACGAAAGAGAGCGTGCACGAGGCATGATTCAGGTTGGCACCAGCAGCAGGGATATTGCTCGACAACTTGGACTTGACCACTCCACCATCGTTAGGCTTCATAGACGAATTCAGTAGACAGGCAGCACCCGTGACCTTCAATGACCTTGGCATCAACGTGTTACGACGCTCCATCAGGATCGCCATATTGACCTTGTCCATATCAGTGATTGAACACTGCCGACTGCCAGGACTGCTGCACTAGTACAAGGTTGACGTGGGGGTCATCAGCGCTGACTCCATGCGACGCCGTCTACACGCTACAGGGCTCCATGCTCGACGTCCTTACGTTGGACCAATTCTGACTGACAGACACCGTAATGAGCGTATAGAATGGGCTAGCAGGCATTTTCAGTAAAGGTTACAACAATGGCATGGTTTGGTAGTCACTGACGAGTCACGTCTTCATCTACGTAATGCTGACGGCCGATTACGTGTTTGGCGTAGACGTGGTGAACGTTATGCTGATGAGTGTGTGGTTCAGACAGACCGTTGGGTGGTGGGAGTGTCATGGTCTGGGGTGGAATAAATTACAATCACAGGACTGCCTTCATGTCTGTCAAGGGAGAATTAATATTCTTTATTACCGTGAGCAGATTCTTCAGAATAACATCGTATCTGTCTTCAATCACCACCAAGATGTCCATACTTTTCAACAGGACAACGCACGGGCACACACAACAAGACTTTCCATGCAGTATCTGGCCCAGCAACACATCCAGGTTATTCATTGGCCAGCACAGTCGCCAGATGTATCCTCCATGGAGCACTTGGTCAAAGTCTTTCGCGGCGACAACAGATGCGAAACATCCGGGAACTAGAGGCTGCACTACCTCAGAAGTGGAATGTCATCCTCAAGAACTCTATTCGGACGCTTATTGACTCAATGAGGAGTCGTCGAACTGCATGTGTCAATGCAAATGGCGGTCATACGCGATATTGACTTTTCGATTTGACCCTACGTGTGTTTGATCCTTTCTAACTGTGGAAAATTTCAATGAATGAGCGTCTTTTCTGTGTTGTTGTTTTTGTCAGTCGTCCATCTGTTATTATCCACTCAAAAAATATCAATTGCTTACACGTACTTTTAATAATCTGAACTTTTATAAGTGGTGCGTTTTCAATGATGTTCAGTATATTAGCCATGCAAAGTTGTCTAAAAACAGATCGACATCTACTTCATGAAACATCTGTCGGTGCATGTTTACGTAACATCCATTAGGCTTTTACTGCCCGAGGTGTCTCGGAAAAAGCCGATGTTACCCGAGTGCTGCATTACATAGAGGGAGTACTAGTGAAGAGAGTAACGTGACGTCATCACTGCCTGTGTGTAGTTGGAGAGTCAATGACGAATATATGTGTGGCATGGCTGGAGGCATGAACACTTCGCGACTGTCTGGCGTGGGAAGACTGGGTCAACTTCCAGTCAACATTCCGAGCACGTTGTTTGAAGAAAGTTTTCATGAACGCCATCCTGAACGGCCTGTATGTAAGTGTGTAAACAAGGACATTGTAAAAGCTGTTTGAGACTGCGCAGAAAAAGACCATGTTATATATTCCGTTCGGGATCAGGTGACCCATGCCAAATAGGGACATAGATTCAACAACAACAAATCCCACGTAATTGATGACGTAGAGCACAGTTAATAGTACCAAGGTCGATGTGAGCTTTATTTGCTGGGTAATATTTGGGGGAGTGAGATGTACTCCCGCTGTTTGCACCTTACGACCTTCCCGCCACACGCGAAAGTAACTGACTATAATTGTGCCAAACCCAACTCCTACGGTCGAACATATCAAATAAATGCTGCAGGGGACGTTGGCCGTCAAGTCCGGAACAACCGCGTATCTGACATCATGATACTTGTAACCATTTGTAAAACAGAAAACCACAGGATTCAGGGCTGCGTACAGCCACGTCAGTGAAAACACTACGGTCAGGTTAGAGTCCTTAAACAACCTGACGTATTGATACGGTCGACATATCGCTACGTATCGATCAAGAGCTGCTAAGGCAA